TTCAATAGCGCCAGCAATAAAAACTAATGAGACTGCAGCAGACAACAAATCGCTCGGATATTGCCGGGGCAATGGCAGAGAAAAGCGAAATGAAATAAAACTAAAAAAAGAGTCTAGCAGTAAAAGCTGCCAGCACACAGACAAATAATAAAATGGAGACATAAAACTAATGTTAATGCTAAGCCTCAAGCCACACCAGCTATCATGCAACGCACTATGGGACTGGATTATCGAATTCCTGACTACAAATATTACAATAAGATGAATAAAAGAGCAAATGTATTCTTAAAGTAAATAATAAGTAAATATTTGCAATTACAACAAGAAGGCAGCATTGCTTATCGAAGCGTTTGGTCATCAATGGTCAACACTCAATTTGTAAGAAATATCTACACATACAAAGAATATTTAAAATAACAGCAGCTCTTTAATATAAGTAGTTATCGTTTCTGGCTTTCGAAGGGCTACAAAAGTTTAAAAGCAAACAACTTGCTGTGGCCTTTCTACCTAAGAACTTTTTTAGACAGCCTCCGTATCAGTTTTTGATAGGTCTATCAATTTATCATTCCAAAATCTGTACTGGAAAGATCGATAAAAACGTATCCTGTCAAACTGTTTGTTGAATATAACTATAAATATTTTTAATGGCTTCTTACTTTTGTAGTAAACAATTTCAATAATTTGCTATTTTGGTTTAGCTTCTAAGCAGAGAAATTTCTTCACTTAAGTTGGATAACGCTATGATCGTATGATGCATTTCTTTCTAAAATTGTTCTGACCAAAGGGGCCATCTTCCGTAGCGCATTGAAATTTAGATAGTAGTAAATTGCAATAAAATACAGCATGTAAATCGTATTATATATTATGTAAAACTAATTATGATAAACATTGTTTTGAAAATTGCTGCCAAGTATTTTCATTTTTTAATATTTTAATTTTCATTTTATTTAATATTATTTAGATAGACTTTTTGTAAATGAAAGAATCTGCGAATATTATCTGCATAAACCAGAGCCAGAATGTGTGTAAAGTAGATTTCAAACAGCAAACAAATTTAGAATCGTTTCAACATATGGCTGAAATTGGTAAACCAAAAATGATCTGGTTATTAATATTTTAGTAATATAAAACCTATGTTACTTTTGCCAAATATAATTATTCTCGGTTAACAATCGAATATATATATATATAAAAATATATTGTGGTGGCAATACAAAAATCTCTCTATCTTCATTTGGAAAATGACTGCCTAAACAAAGGAAGGACAGATACACAAAATAAAGTACAAGCCAAAACTCGAATCTTAATATCTTGAAGCAAAGACGAATATGAGCGTTCAACATTGCCAATCATTTTATTTATAATATATTTTCAATATTGTTAGCTGTGTGGTTCACTTTTTTACATTCCCTGCTGAAGGATGCCAAAAATCCTATTCCTATTTATTATTTTAAAGCAATTTTGATCTGAGGCCACTTGCCCCATTGTTCTCAGTTGGCTCAGTTGGTTGGGTTGCTTGGCCCGCTTGGTCCCGGGCACCTTTGCCACTATCGCACGAATTGTACAATATATTTGTTGTTGTGGCTGATGCGTGTTTGATATGTGACTGGGTGTCATCGTGGTCGTCGTCGTCGTCGTCGTCGGCGACATCGTCCTTTTCGTCCTGCCACCTAAAACAATGGCCGAGGGCGGTGCAATAAAATTGCGTTTTAATGTCCCCCAACTGCGGGCGCCATTCGCACAGCCTATCCCCTGCCCATTTTTCTTGAGTCCTAACACAGACATACTTATGCATAATGTAGCCGTTGTTGTCATTGTTGTCTTGGCATTCATTTTTGTTTGCTGCTCTTATTGTTTTATGACATTTTATTTGCATATTTTTGCGTGCGTTGCTTGATTTAAAGCAGTTTTAGTCGCTTGGCAACTTGAGCCACAGACTTTGGCCAAATGATTGCACCGAGCTGAGCTGCAGTGTGACCCATATACTTGTATAAACATATACATATACATACGAACTCACAAGCACACACACACACACACACATTTAAGCATACCATACACTCACACACAGTTGGGCAACTCAAGTGCTTCACACTGTGACGCTCAAAGGAAATGCCGTCAAAAATGTTATGCCACAAAAACAAACAAACAAACGAACGAACGAACGAACGACCGAGTGAACAAACAAAAAATGGCGGCAAGGCGTGCAGGCGCAAAAATTTATATTTTGTGTGTGCCAGGAAACGGCAAAAATATGAAAAAAATAAATAAAAAGAAACAAAGGCAACGAAACATGCGAACATAAACGTAAAACAATTCTCAAGAGCCTCGCGCTTTTCCATGCTGTTTGTTGTTCTTTGTATTTGAGCTCAGAATTTTTCACTCAGCATTTTTCACTTACGAGTAGCGAGTTGAGAAATGCTCGAAGGGATTGTATATAGAGGCGTAAGTACGTGGATGAGTGGTCGCTTCTATTTGGCAGCAGGTCCTTATACGAATTAGGTATTCTATGTTATAAATGCTTTGCCGTTCAGTTCCCACGAGCTCGTTGCCTATTGTCTGTTAATACTTGTATATCATTTAAAATTGATTCAATAAAGCCTTGCATTCATACTTGATACGCTCAAATGGCCAGAGCATTGAATGCAATGGGCTCTTTAGCTAAAAGTGCCGAGTAAATTGCATTGTACATGATTTGATGAGGATGAGTCCGCCACATTCAAAACGCACAATGCTGATGAGAACGATGGCAATCATGATGGTGATTGTGATGAGGATGCTGGGACCTGGTCTTGGGCCCAGACCACTGTTTAATTTGCGACTGGCATGCGTTGAATGAGCAAGTGATTCAAAGTGCAGCCAACGATGGTGAATGCAGCAACCAATTTCAAATTGCAATTGCATGCAAATGAATGTTGCATTGTGCGTGCTTTGGTGCTCCGTTGTAACGATGCTACAATGCCCGGATTCCTCTATTGCCGTTGGCTGTTGATAGGCGGATGTGCGGATGTGGCATATGTGGCATATGTGGCTTGGCAAGAATTGCATACGAGTACAAAGCATCAATTTTTAATACAATCATGACTCGTGAGAGAATGCAATGCACTTAGAACAACAAAAACAATACTGTAAACATATCAAATCACACTCTCAACATAAATCTCAATCTAAAATGCAGCACAGCCCGCAACAGCAACAGCAACAACAACAATGAAATGACAGAAAATCACACATGTGTCATAAAACTAACAAAATAGTTGAAAATAGTTGAATTTAAGTGCCGTCTGTTGTCGGTCCGTTTAATAGTATATGTATGTGTGTATGCTTAGGCATGTAAATAAGTACCTAAGCCCCCATGATTGCGCAGACAACAACATAGTAGAACCACAAAACAGAACACGCAACAATCGCATGGATCTCAGCAACTAATCAGCGTTTCTATCTAATAAGCCTTTACTCGATGAGCGCACCATCACTGAGCGGAGGCAGCACTTGATGCCGATACTGATGCTGTTGCTACATGTTGATGCTACTGGCTGGCGATGTTGGCGATGATGAACTAATGCTTCTAATGATGCTGTTGATGTTCGTGGCATGTGTGGGTTAAGTGTGATAAATCGACAGTTGAATTAAATGAAATGTATGCTGCTTACACAGTCACAGACTTCAACACGACCACACTACCAGATACATCAAAGCAAAATGCCAACAAAGAAGATTGTGCACCTAATTCCGATTGAATTATATCGAAGAATACACAAATCCCGACATTCGAGTACATTTCTATGTGCACTGAACAAATTTGAAAATGTAAATCTTCTAGCCATTTGAAGTTTCTCTGTAGCCCGGTTTCTAATTTATTAAATTTTGAATTGTAAAAAACAAATCTACTGTTTCACTACATTTAACAATAGTGCAGGTTTTGAAGCTTAAGGAAATGATGTATTTAGTTGGTTGCTAATTAACAGCTTAACCCCCTTTTTAAGACAGTTAAACGTTTAATTTTGTGTTACGTCTCTCAGTCATAAATAAATCGTAGAAGGCAGTTTAGTTGTGAGTCAAGTTTTTCTTAGCAAAAAGCTGACACTCACCGCTACTTCTAGATGGCAGTGAAGAAAAAACTACTGATTTCAATATTTTAAAAACTAATTTGACTTTAAAAAGCTTTGGATGCCCAAAAACTTAATAAACAAATTCATAGCGGAAACGTAGAATAAACTTACAAAAAAACAAATCCCTTTGTGGGATACATACTTGCGAGTACATAGTCAGATATGCAGATACTTATGTCTTTATATGCGTGTGTGTTCATACAGGTGTGTGTGTGTGTGCTTGTGTGTGTGTGTCTGAGCTGGACGGGCGGAAGTTATGGACCTTACTTCTGCCACAAAGGAGAAACAGCAACAACAAGAATAGGTGTACCTTGGCGCTTTGTTTTGCTGGGGCAGCCATTAAAGGTAGACAGAGGAAGACGAGCAGACAATAAGTGAGGCGGTCGCTACTCAATAACTACCAATACAGGCAATAGAATGTGAATTTGAACACAGATACTCACACACACACCAACCAACAGTACCAACAGCCTGTACATGTGCGTGGTATATAAACTGCCAAATTATGAATTCTCGAAGACACTTTTCCGACAGCGCTTCGCACAAACAAAAAAAAAAAATAACCGTCAACTGTCCCGCTCTCAAAATGCGGCCCCCGTCTGCTTCTGTGCGTGCGCGCTGCTGAAGACTTTACGGATCACGGAGCTCATCAAAAATCGTTAAATGCAAAAATCGAGAAGCAAAAGCAAAGGGGCAAAAACAATGAAACCGTGTGCGCCGTAAAGCAGCAACAGCGTAGAAGGAGTAGGAGGAGCAGGAAGACTTATGATGAGGGGTCAGGAGCAGCGTGGAGCATGGAGCTTGATGAAGGCGACTGTTATACGCCTGCCACAATATGAAGAAGATACCCACTTGTTAGGAATCATGCAAATAAAAGAAAAAACTCACCTTAAGTTTCCTTGTGCGTAATAACAATTTGGGTTGAGCTTTCCTTTCCGCAGTATTTTCTTAAAAGTGTTGTATTTGTATACATACTATATATTTTATAAAGTTGTTGCACATCTAAGCACTTCTATTCGCCCGATATTTCTTTTTGTAATATGGCTGCAAAAATTGTTTTGAGTTTTTCCTTTTTTAGAAAATCTTGGTTACTAAATTTGTTTGCTCGAAATATATTTTATTTCTCGATGCGCACAAACGCGAGGACGCCAACAAAAGCAAACACTCAGGCACACACAGATAAACATACGCACTAATGAATATCCTCTTAGACCATATGAGTACATGTGTGTGTAACTGTGTGTGTGTGTGTGTGTGTGTGTATAATTGTAATGGTGTAGTGATGGTGAGCTGCCGCCTCACACAGAAACAGAAGCAGAAACAGAAAAACACTTGAAATATGCTCCCTTTTGAATTTTTTCTTTACTTGCTTGACTTTTTCTTGTTGTTGTTGTTATATTGTTGTTGTTGCCTTTTTCTTGTATTTTTTTGTGTTGTTTTTGCGCACTGAAACTACCGCTGAAGCACCGTTGGTTTGATTTGGTCGCAGAAATACTCTGTTCAAAACACGACGATGTCTCTAGCTAAACTGAAACGAAAAGCGACAGCAATGCGCACTTTAAACTGTGCTACGCAGACGGACACAAATTCACGAGCTCTGCCAACAGCGCGCTCGGCACTTTCTCTCTTCTCCAGCTCTCTGCTGTGAGGTCTTCCAGCTAAAATAGCTGGCACTGTCTCTGTCGCTGCCACTGCCGCTGCCACTGCCGCTGGTCATCTTTCATGCTTATAAGTACGAGTATTAGGACGACCGTTACTGTGCTACTTCGTGCTGCTGCTGCTGCTGCTGCTGCTCACTGTTAACTGCTAACTGTTATACGGCAAGCCGCATTGCTCATACGCACCGCGGTCACCCACTCTACCATATCTCTTCAGCAGCAGAAGCAGCAGCACCAGCAGAAACTTTTCGTATTTTTGCCATGAAGCTTTTTTTCGCATGCCAGTTGTTGTTGTTTTTGTTTGTGTTTGTGTTTGCACTCTTGTCTTAGTTTTTGGCAGCCAGTTAGGAACACCAGCTGCTGTTCTCTTTGCAATGCGCCGCATACCCGTTGCTGTTGTTGTTTTCGTTGTTGTTGTTGTTGTACAAGCGTTGTCTGGCCTGCTGACAAGATTTCATTATCTCGAGTGCTCGTTTGTTTGTTTATTTATTTGCCCAGCACGGGCAAAGGCGGCAAAAATGCTTGCTGTAGGTTATCAATGCTATAAAAGCTTTATGGCATATAGCATTTGCGGATTGAATCATGAGAATCAATATTAATATCAAGTTGGCGCTCAAGTTTTGGCTCAGTCCTGAAACAACACAAAGTTCGGCAGTTAACCTACACATAAATATAATTTTAGTCTCTTCCACAATTCAGATAAGACATTGTTTATTTGGCAGGATTCCCTATTTGTGCCACTGTAAGCAGCCGAAAATCGATCGCACGTTATGCGGTTGTTCGTAATATGTTATAGTACACACTCACACACACACATACACACACAGGCGCGCATTAACACACGCACTGGCTCACACACACACACGCACACACACAAATGCCTAGATACACACACACACACACACACACACACTCCCATAATAAACAAAAAACACATTGGCCAGTTCAGCTGTTTTTGCCGCAAAGTATTCTACAAGCTTCCAAGCAGGAATATTTTTTATTTATCTATTACTTTGGATTTATTCGAAATGGATGTGGGCTTTTACATTTATTTCCAATTTGTGCCTACTGCAGTTTCATTGCATTGCTGTGCTATTTGTCCTTTCAGAGCCCACTCTGCACTCTAATTTAGCATTGAATGTGTCTCGAACACACACAAACACACAAAACAAAGCGCCAGCAAATATTCACGAAATTCCTTCACAACAAGAGACTACGACGGCTCACGACAGAATGCGAGCAACTGTCGCACCACAACAGCAGCACGGCTGGGGCGCCAGCAACAACATCCGGGATGAAATTCTCAAATATTGTACGTGTTTCTAAAAATTGATATGAAAACACATTCGGCGCCCGCTAAAAGCTTGGTTTGCCATCAGCCGTGTGTGAAAGCCGCACCGAAAGCGCTTCATACAAGTATGTGTGTGTATCGTGTGCATGTTGGCTTGTGTGCGGATGTATAACAGCTCTGAGCTTTCAGCGGCGTCAGCTTTGATTTTATTTTGGCCACCTGAAAGCTTCCGGCCGCAATGCAGCTCATGCAAGCGCTCAAGGCTGCTCACTAAGCGGCAGAGTAAGCCTAAATTCTTCTTCAGAGCTAGGGACGAGACAAGCCTCTTAGCGTTACTCACGCCATTAACTATTTAGTTCTGTTAAGATAAATAATATATCTAATACATTCTATGAGAGATCGGAATTTGGACGACATAGTGTATGTACATATTTACTCAACACCTTGGTGCACTTTTGTTGTTGATTTTGTAATTTAAAATGGTGCTAGCAAATGTTGTTGTAATATTGTTCAATTTTAAAATTTTCTGCGATTCTGTTTTCATCTCTGTTAGACAGTTTTTAAATGTTAAATGTTATAAGTTTTATATACTAAACCAAATCTTGGTATAAAACTGGCTATTTATTCAACAATCCAAAACCGTATTAGTGTTGCAACACAAGCCGTATTTAAACGAATAGTTCAGACATTCAGTTTATTTGGACACCCATTACATTCTCACTGAAAACTCTGTGATTCAAGATATATTAATTTGCACGCACAAAGAAATTTCAACAAATGAGGATAACTAAGTTCGTTTACAACCATTTAAAATTCGTTAACAAAAGAACGGTTTCTTTATATTTATATTTTGCCTGTCTCGTCTAACGAAATTGTCTGGTCTATCAATGTTATTCTGCACTTATATTCTATTCGAAAGGCAAGCCAAACACAAGATAAAGATAAATTTCTTGTATACTCCAGCGGATTAGGTTTTGCAAAATGTTTCATACTTTTAGCTGCTCGAAGAAATGGGAGGTTTGCTCCAAAAGCTCATGCGGGGCTTTACCAAATTGAAGCAAAAGCTCTATAGTTTGGCGCTTCGGCAGCTCTGGACTCACGCGGTGTTGTAACTTGTTGCGCCAGTTCGTTCAGTCTTCGCTGTATTCTCGAACCGCTTGAAACGTTCGCTGCCTCCGCCGCTCCACTTCAAGGTTTGTTTGTGTTGGCCGTATGGCTACTTTTGGTCGCCATAGCTGCAGGTGGTTGCTCGAACTCGAAATTGGCTGCATAGTCGTAGTGTGGGCGCGCATCGTAAAATGTATTTATAACGTTTACGTTTTCGGCAACAAATAAATAAATGTGAATGAAAAAAGAGCAATTACTAACAGAATAAAGTGCGAAGAATTTCTTGCATATGCTAATTCTTGGAATATGCATATGTAGGTGAACAGTTTGATTAGAACTGTTAAATGCTTTCGTGTTTATCGCGCGAACCGGTTTTTTGTTTTTGTTTTGAATTCCAAGATGACATAAACTTAGACGACGACACGCCCCGGGACAATTACTTAGCTTTTAATTTGCATAATGACGACATTTGTTTGAAGGTTTTTGTGTTTTGAATGTGATCATCATCGTGTGTCAACATCCCGATGCTGTTATCAGCGCCAATTAATAAATTTTCTAATAAAAGACTAAGGCCTTTGCTGAACAAGCAAAGCAAGTGCGTTAAACTAAGCCTTAGATAGCGTCGGAGGTCTTCAACTTTCCAAGTTGCCTTGTTTGTACACGAAAGTCTCTTAAAATAAACTCAAACAATGTCAAGTTTGCAACGTCAATTCAGTGAAATAAATCGAAATGTGATCGTTAACATTTTGGTCACGCAGTTTCTGATGCCCCAAGTTTAGAAACTACGACTATTTACAACAAGTGAAACTATTCACTGCAGTTGCATATAAATATCGCTACTTATGCTTCAGTCAATACGAAAGGCTTTGTTTTATAATTTGAATTTATGTGCAGATATGTATGAATGCCGTTCTTTATATTCCAGTTCGTCACACTCCCACCACACACACGCACTAGCATTATGGGCAATCCAGTTTGGTTTATCTTCTGGCTGTTGGTCTTCTGGTTCATTTCATTCTTTGTTGCATTCTTCTGCGCCTTCTTCTATGTTATACTCTACGTAATTGTGGTCTGCGTTCCTGGTTTGTCGGTAAGTTGTGTTTTGAAAACCACCATGTATGATGTCATACACCCATATTAATGTAGTTCCCGCTCAATACGATAAGCGTCTTAGTGGGCCAGATTTTTAAATCATTACTCATGTTTGTGCAAATTTTTATCAGCGCCCTCAGGCTGGCATTTGTTAGAAACAAGGCGCACTCATTACTTTTATGATAGCTTCACGATAATATTTTTACATAACTGCCGTTCCGCACCCAGGATAAATTTTGCCAAATAATTTTTATTAACAAAGTAGAAAGCAACCACTTATTCCAATCAACTACAAATGAATATCTTAGAGCTACAGCATTAAGTTCTTAATTTATAATTGCTTCACATAATAGAAGAGTGTTTGTACATATTGCATATATAATTAATTTTAAATCGTTGATTAATCATTGATAATATGTGATAATAATGTGATAACAAAGTGTGTGAAGTTTTCTGTTGTCATGGTATCATTTAAACCGTCGTATAATTTTCTATGTTTAAGGAAAGGGATGAGGGCGGGTGAAGTTGAAGATAGTTCTAGTTATCGGGCTCATTTTCTGAAGGAGCTTAGCAGCGAATCTAATGTACAAGGAGTCATTGTACTCGTCAATTCATATCGCGGTCGTAATCATACTTTAAGAAGCCTTACATTTTTCTGTGGTTTTAAGCATGGCTCATTAAGATATGTATAAAGATTTATTATACTCGAAGCTCTTAATTCAGAAAATAGAATTGAGCTTTTTCGCGTTCATTTTTTATTCAGAATTTTGTTTGCCAGGACTACTAAATTAGTTATATATATGTACAACAATAGGAAAAATATAACATATAGGTTAACAGACTTTGCACACCCTTTCTTTTTTTCAAAATATGCGTAACATTCTAACAGAATAAATTAATTTGAAACGAAATATTTTAGCCAAAGCAATTGTAAGAAAATGGGAAATTGCAATCAATCTAAAATCGTACTTAAAATGGAAACATATTGTTTGGATATGTATGTTCATATTTCTACATTTCTATTGCCTCTCACTCTTGCAGGGCATTACCGACATGCTGCTACAAGGCCTCCAATTCCCCCATTATTGTGCCAAGGCCATGCTGGAATGCAAACCCGCATGCTAGAACAATATTTTCTCTTTCTATATCGTTAAGTAAAATATTTATAAAAGATTTTCAAACCACTGGAGTTTTATATTATACATTTATATTACAAAATAAAATGATTAAAATATTTTAATTTTGCTGTCCTTCCATTTAACTAACCATTTAAATAAGAATACAAGCTTACCCAAAAATATAGGTAACAAAATTATATCATTTTAAAACTGGACGTTGTGTAATCTTTAACAAATTTTAAAATGATAAAAGTGGAAAAATTGCTGATAGCACACAAAACGCAATATCGCGCTAAGGGCGATACAAACTAAACGACGTCTAATACTATACATATGTATATGTATGTATGTGTATATATGCAATGTCAATAAACTACACATACGTATGTATGTATGTATGTTCAGCGGCATATCTTGAACTACTTGGATGTGCGAATGAAAGCTTGGTTGCGATTACTTTTTCTGCTGTTTGTCTGCAATCGCGGTCACTTGGTGGTTGATGCTACTGTAGCGTTTTGCTGACTCGCGTTAACGCTGCCGGCTACATCTGCTGCAGTCGCTGTGGGAATACCTGCAGTAGCAGTGGGGATCGTGTTGCCAGAGAGTTGGGCTGGCTGTGCTTCGCGTTCGTTGATAGCGCGCAGTTCCAGCTCGCCTATTAATTGCATTACACGTATTTTGCCCTCAGTGGCCAGCTTTGGGGGCAGCGCTTTAACCGTCGCGCAGATGCTGTCAAAGAAGAGATCAAATGAGTCACGACCAACGGCTCCAATGGAATTTTGACTCAGCGGCTGATATGGTGAATACAACTGCTGTGGATGGTCCTGCGTGTGCGATTGGTGTATTTGTTGCGATGGAGGGACTGCTCTTTGAATCGGCGCATAGTTACCGGCAGCAATGGGCGTTATGGTCGCCTTAGATGTTATTTCCTGCGACTGTGCAGGTTTACTTGATGTTGGCATGGTCGTCGCTGTGGGACCCATTTTAGGTACAGGCATTGACATTACTTTTTTAATAGTAATCCTGCATGGGTTATTCGCTGCTGCTGCGCCTGCTGGAGCCAGCGATGTCGGTGGCGCATATTGTGATAACAATTGGACAGGCTGCAGTGACTGCGCATTTGGCGACTCGTTTATGGTTACTTGCAGTGGTAGATAGTCAAGCCCACCAGAATTTTGTGAATCTGTTTCAGACACACGACGCTTACAATGTGGCTCGTACTCTGCCTCAGCATCGTTTTCGCCATCATCTTCCTCCTCCTCGTCTTCAACATCATCAAGTCGATCATCCGATTTGGTCGGTAGCGGACCATCCTCATCATCAGTGTATTCCCATTTTACCACGGCATCCGGCTCTATCGTGGACTCTACTTCTTTGGGCGGCAGTGCTTTACGCTGTGCATTCTCGGAATGCTTAATACTGCCTTCATGCTTGCCCAAATCGGAACGCTTGGCGCTAAGACGACATTCGCAAAGTATACAAAATACAAAGTGGGGATCTGTTTCGTCGGGCAATAGCCATGGATAGATGAACTGGTACTCCGGTTTTGTTTTCGGTCTCGGATATTTCAGCAGCGACCTACGCGGCTTATATTCTGAGCGCAAGGCGTCCCTGCACGGTCAAAAGGGTATAAATTATTTGCATATATTTTGAATGGGTTCAAATGCATTTGCTTACAGTTTTTCTCTCGTTAATTGTGGGTTTGCCATTATAATGCTTTACTATATTTGTTGAAAATATAAACAACTTCAGAGTGTTGCCACACTTATTTTCATACAAATATGGTACTTCCGATATGTTAAAAAAATCGATTATGTGAATGTTGAACAATCGGGTCCCGCTATAATGGTCACACTGAAATTATACCCGATATTTGGCATTTAAATATGTACATCACATATTCTGCCTTCCCAAGCATTAAAGGAACAAGCAATGTTTATTGATATAGAAATAAGAAAAACCAATTGATTGATTTAGTTGCATTATTTCGTTTTGTTATTACCTGTGCAACTGGTTCATAGAAAAATTTAGGATACGAAAAAGATTCAGAAAAATAACATTCCAACTACATGTTTACGGGCTTATTTCGATTAATTATACAGATTATTATTTCCGATATACATCTTATGTATATTCTTACATACATATGTATGTATATATGCATATAAAAATATATTGGAAAAGTGTGTACCACGCTAATTTTTAGTTTGGTGAAACTATCGATATAGTGGACGTCGATAGGAACATATCCCAGTGCAGCGGCATTTTGCCAAGCAACTTTTTTTTGCAAGGTAGTTTTTCCAGTATCGTGTTAATTTATCCCATTGGATTGAGCTGCAAGTGAATGTATATTTAAAATTAAATACTTCACCACTTGGTCTGAAGTATAAATGTTGTTGTAGACATGGATAAGGAGAATATGGAGGAAAAAAAAAGTTGTGACGCACTTGAAGCCGCGGACGGAGACAAAATGGTGGCTGATCCAACAACATCAACGCCGCTGGTGCTGCCGCAGACATTTGAGCACGAGCTTCGTATTACGGATGTGGAGGGAGCTGCCGAGCCGCCAGTTGTTATAGAATTTGGTGATGATGAAGAAGACGAAGCGCCGATGTTGTCGGAACTGCAGTCGGCGTTAAACGGCACCGCAACTGAGCCGGTCGAAGAAAAGGATGCTGACGATGCTGCATCTGCAAAAACAGAACCCAGCAGCGACGCTGAAAGCTGCAACTCATACAATGGACCTGATCCGATGGGCTTACTGGAGCGTTTGGATAGAAATCACGATATTGAAATCGATGATGATGATGATGGTAGCGATGATGAATCTGGCAGCAATAGGTCTGGTCCTGGTTTAAGCAAGGCTGAGCGCTGGCAGCTGTGGATGAAGCGCTGGGAATGGCTGATACACGAAGAAGACGATGGCAACTTTGCGTTCTGTCTCTACTGCAACATTATAATTAACGTTAACAATAAGTCAAAGTATATTGCCCAGCATAATATGTCATTGTACCATCAGGAGCGCGAGAACAACTATGTCGCCTTCAGGAACAGCGAAGAGCAGACACGTGGCGTGTAAGTCTCAACATTAAAAATATGACCTTTTATGAATTCTAATCATCGTTATTTTTAGCACCAGCATCAGTGAGCTTAAACAGGAGTTCGGCACGGACAGTTATGCGGCGGCCATAAAGAAGAAGCGAGCAAACGAAGTGGAGACCTTAAATAACTTTAACTGGTTACGTTGGCTGCAGTGGCATCCTTGGCTGGAGCGTATACAGCCCGAGGGCACCATCGGCTTGTGCAAGTATTGCAACATCCGGTTAAACGTCGAATTTGTTTACCTACGGAAGCGTCACGAAAACACAATCCGTCATCGTGAAGGCGAGAATCAATTTAAAATGCAAGAGTCCCGCAAGCGAAAACGCAGCGACAGTAACAATGATATATCTGTCGATGATGAACCAGAGCTAGAAGCAGCCCCCAGTGAAGGATCAGCCGTTGTCGATAAAGTAAGTGGATGGTGCGAAATTAAAGCTGGCACAAATCCGGTGCAGTGCCGTTGCACTTTATGCGACATCCAAATGAGGTTAAGCAGCTTCAGGAGGCATTGCGGGATAAATGTACATCTTAATAATTTGGAAAAATTCAGAAAAAAGTGAGTACATTCCAATCATACATATCATTGGCACTACATTATTTTTGCTCTATTTCGCAGAGATCGCGGTATTTGGGCTCAGTATGCTGACCTACACCCCTGGCTGGGGCCCGATCCCAGGGATCCCAGCATTGCGTACTGCAATGTGTGTGAAAAGCGTTTCATGTATGGCCATTCACAAATTAAACGGAAAACCCACGAAAATTCAAGTAATCACATAGCAGCTACCAATCGCCAACCAACTGATGGAAGCAAAACAGCGGAGGATATTCAACAAGAGAGTACTGCTGAACCGTCAGAGCCCGAAAGCGAATCGGTTAGCTATCAAGATATTGGAGATGATGACGCGTCATCGTCCTCTGACAGCGAAGCAGAGTATGTATATTTTATTTATTCAGAGTCGTTCAGAATACTTTTAAGGTACCATGTGGCTTTATAATTTCCAAATTATCAACTAGGAAATACTCCTGTTCTGCCTCCCCGCAATGAATCACCCTTCTATTTATTCGCAACTTAGATTTAAGAATTTATTTAAAAATATTTTATACTTACTTGTATAATGTGTTTTAGGAAAAAGCGCAAAACCAAGGCTGACAGCCGCAACGCCAAGAAGTCAGCAAAGGTTGTTCGCCACTTTTCCTGGTTGCGCGTTTCTAAGGATCGCAAGATGCAGATCTGTAAATTCTGTCGCGTGCGCATTTATAGTGAACACGGAAAACTACGCCACGAGCAGAGCAATCAACATCAAAAAACAGTCAAGCAGTTTAAGGCACAACACTTGGCAGTCAGGTAAGTTTATTTAAAAGGCACCTCACTATGATGTATACCTAGCCAAAGGTTTAAGGCTTATGCAGTAGCTTAATAGGTTAATTTCGAAATGGATAATCAAAGTTTCCTGAGGCAGTAAAGGCTTTATATTTTATAGTTTGTTTATCATGAAGAAAAAATTGAATTGAATTGAATTTTGTTTCCTATTTTTATAAGTTTGATTTAGAATAATACCTCAACAAATAATACTTCAACTACAATTTGAGTTTTACGTCAATAAAATAAAAGTAATTAAACTAGCTCAACCAATTTTTGGTCTAACTTAAATACAACATTGTTTCCTGGAAATCTTGGGCAATGTTAAGGAAAGTTTTTAGTTTCCATCATATCTTAGGATTTCACTAGTAACTAATTGGCTTGTTTTGACTTTTGTTTTTTTCTATACTCAGAAAGGACCACCAACAAAAGAAGGAAGAGGCTGTCGAGAATTCAGACTCTGCACCTACAGAGAAAGCATCTAACACATCAAGCAAAGCTCAGAAGGCACCGCCTGTCTCAATGCAGAGTAAAGTGTTGCTCTGGAAAGATCGTTTTCCCTGGCTGTCTTATAAGCGTAACGAAATACGCCCGAACTACGGATGGTGCAAACTGTGCGAAATGTCTTTATATCTACCTAGCTTCAAATTTGCATCAAAACACCAGCGCAGCACTCGGCACATACGTCTTCGCCATGAACGCAAGCGCCAGGGTCCGGCGGTGGCAGCTAAAGCCGTAGCCGAAGGTTCCGAAGAAGTCGCTACAACTACTCCCGCCGTTTTAACCCCTGGAGAGGCCAAGAACAAAGCGGCGTTGGCCGAGTTGAAAGCGAAATATGAATGGTTGGAACCGGACCCTAATGATGAAAACTATTGCTTTTGCAAGCAATGCGAAACGCGATTGCCTATCAAAGTGTTCTTTTTAAAACAACATCATTTTTCACGCAAGCATGCAGACCGGTTGAAGATGACCGCTGAGGCAACCACAGCCTCCATCCACCCGCTTAAGATAAGTCCCAGAGCGTCTACGACCATGCCGGAGGCAGACCCTGAGCCAGATGTCTCTATTTTGGAAGTGGATCAAGAAAATTCCGAAGTCGTTAGCATTAAGTAAGTAGACAGTGATAGAGGGATCTCAGAACAAACAATGCTTCTTGCGAGGGCATTGCTTTTTAGAAGCATACCATTCTTGTTATGTTATGACTCTTTACCCTTCAAAACCTGCATTTTCATTCATTTCCAATAATATGGCCTAACTGTGCATTGTAAATTGAAAGCAGGATTTTGTCAGCAAAACATGCGAACTAACTTTTCCATTTACTTGCCTTTTGCAGATCCGAAGACTCGGGCGATGAGCCAGACCCCAAGCGAATGCGCCGCTCTATTGATGTGCGGCGTCTTTTACGCGTATTGCGTAACTCTGTTGGTAAGCGGCAGGATGAACGCAGCCAAATAGACTTGGCGAAGGATATGATTTGCTCCTCGTTTGATATTGTGACGCGTTTGCGCGCATTGGACGACTCCAGCGTTCCTGGTAATTCGCGCATAATGCCAACGCAGGCGCCAATGTCTGCGTCTGTTGGGGCATCAACGCAGCCTCGGGACACCATTGATTTGTTTTTCGAGAGCATTACTCAAACAGTAAAGGCACTGCCGACGGATCTGGCTGCAGAAGGCAAGGCCAAAATCATGCAAATCATATGCGATCTAGAGTTGCGCGCTTTGCGGCGTTCGACAAATGCCGGAGACACTGGGCAGCAGCAGACTACGCCCCCATCGGCCGTAGTGCAGTCGCCAACACAGCCAACGCCACCATTGAGCAGCTCAGGTAAAAGTAACAATGATGCTGTCGAAAGCGTCGATTTGGGTACATTCGAAGAAATAGCCGCTACGCCCAACTCGCCAACCTCTTCTGTCTTATCATCCATAACCATTGAGGATACGGACGATCTACCATCAACACAACTAGCAACACTGTTGACTAACAACCACAGCAACCAAACAAAATCGAACAATCGCATCGATTCTGATCCAAAAGTGCAAAGTGCTCCAAACACACCCATTACGAATGGATCCGCGCCTAGACATTCCCAAGAGCAATTGCGCCGCCTACTGCCATCCATGCAGGTGACAGCCAGAACAACCGAGGCAGAAACTTTGCGTTGCGTACCTCTAAATAAGCTTAAAGCCACTCCAACGCCATCGCATGTCGTAAATGGTCGGGGAATGAGCAGCTCTGCAGGTATGACTTCCACACCCATTATGCAGCGCAAACCGAGTTCTCTGGCCGCTGCTTTGAATGCTCCGATGACCACCGTTCCTCACATTCAAAATCCTGCATCTGTTTCTGCTAACGTCGTCAATGCAAATGGCAGTATATTGCGCAAAATTCGGGTTAGCAGCGGCAACCAGAACAAGTATATATCGGTTCAACAAGTACAACAACAGCAGCAGCTAGAACAACAACAACAGCAGCAGCAACAGCAGGCCCAGATGCGCAACATGAACCGAAATGTTTTATGTCGCATGCCAAACAACAGCAGCAACAGCAACGGCAGCAACAGGCCAATGCAGCAGTAGTAGAACTAACATAAGACTATATTATTGGGGAAGTTATATATTTTATTTTTTATTATCTTTATCGCACCTAAATGCAAAGAACACATAAACTTCATCATTGTTTATCATTTTTCATGAAATAAAATTTCAAATTTATTCGCTATTATTATAATACACATAAACATACCAATTTATTGAACAATACAAAATCCATGCAAAGCAAGAGAGACGAAATGTAATAATTTAATATAGAAAACACAAAGGACTCCCCCAACCAATCGTTGAATGTAACACACGGACTATGCACTTACATTCTCGAATTATTATTTTTCAGGTTTTATTCATAAAGAATGTGAAAATTGTAACTGTTTCTTTTTGCAGATCCTCCTGTAGCTTTTAGTGCATAATAGGTCTTAGGCTAGCTATGTGGGAACTGATTTTCACAAGATTTTTTTCATGAAAATTTTTTTTTAAACACGCCATATGAATTATTATTAATCATTTTAGATTAAATATCAACCGCATTCATAACAAAAACTGTTGAAAGTTTTACAGATTCCTTAAACAAGCCCAAGCTCTTTGACTAAAGTTTATGCTTTGGAAAATATTAATTTATATTACTGTGGTCTAAATATTAAAAACAAACCCAAATTTGTGCATTTGCTATTAAGATGAGTTGTTCCCAATAAATCGATTTAAAAAGTACATAATGGAATAATTTCAATGAATGCAATTTTTTTGTTAGGTAAATTTTTTTTTTTTATAATAAAGTACCGTGATTACTTCTTGAACCACTTATCGAAATCGTTTAATTTTAATACGTTAAATAACTTTTTATAAACCAATTACGCAAATGTCTCGAAGGCGTGGTCCTATCACTGGTCATCCCAATTAAACATTAAAAAATAAGATATGAAGGATTTAAATGGAAACCGAAAGTAGACTTCTAAAATAAGGAAGCTGCGCCACTATTGTATACATTAAATGGAAAGGAAAGGGATTCCTCTAACTTTTTGCATACATTTTTTAATTTTTTTTTTTAATTATCCGTTTTACTGAAATAAACGAATATTCAATCGATGATGTATTATTTCTTGCATTCCGAATTTGCAATAAAACTACAATTACTATTTGTGAAATAATAAAAAAAATGGATTGTCTTAAAAAATGTTTATTTTCTGAAACATTCCGGCTCTTCAAATGCCCTTACGAATATGTCTATTGGGATTTTCAATTTATATTGCTACCCACTTTGTGGTGCCAAGCATAAACAATATTCAGTCGATTCGCAGTGTCATGATAATCTATTGATCTGCTCATGATTGTGGTCGTTGTTGTGGCTCCGCTGCCGGTAATCCATTTGGCAAAACTGCAAAACCAGGTTTCTCGTCGCTCGCAATAGTTGATAATTCGATTTCACGCAAGTCACCCAATAAACGACGCGTTGAACTGTGCATAAAGGCATTTTCAGGTAGCACATAGGTGTTGGCGGCATTCGGAATTGTGGGTGTGGACGTCGAAGTGTCGGTTACCATTGTCTTGGACTTACCCAACTGCTTTTGTTCATTCGCTTCATGAGCTTGGTCAATGGGCGCTGAACGCGATTGTAGCGGGAACATTACTTTAACATCTAGAAAGCTGCAGAGTTCCTCCATGCCATCCAGTGTACGGGCTAGTTCCTCGTTCGTATGTCTGCCTACATGTCTGCGAACTGTGTGCAAATAGTTTTGCAATTTCCCGTGGGCTATGCTCATGACAGTCAAGGCATTCTTAAGTTCGAGGCGCAGCAGTTCGGGGCTCTACATATTGCAGTGAAATGAGAAATTTCAAAAGGACCCATTAGTTTCATACGCACATTTTCGAGGTAGCCATCCATGGCTATACGATTCACATCCTGTAGCTTGGCGAGCGCCGACGCATCGGCCGCATTGCGTTTTTGCATGTAGTTAATCTGGCGGTCTACGTGGCTGATGCTCGGAGACGCATCGGAGCTGGTGCGCGAACGTTGTGGGGACTGTTGTGAGATCTTTGCTGTAGTTGCTGTCGTTGTCGGCACTGCAGGCAAGTTGTCCGCGAAGGAAACAAAAGTAAAAGCATTCGATGGATACTCAAACTGCTTGGGGTTGAGCATAAAGAGAGCATGTCGTAGCACCAAATTGACATCCACAGTATTCGGATAGCGCATCAGATAAGTAAGCGATGTGGTATAATCACTCAGAAGCACTGTGAATCATAGACATTTGATATTAGGTGTCAATTAAAACTATTGAGTGTCCTACGCATTAAAACTAGATAAGTTAAGGATAGCAATAGTTCAGTCTTTACCTACGGTTTCTGGATAAAACACATTTAAGTATAATTCGCTACTCAGATAAATGGTTATATAGTGTCCTACTATGACTAAACAAATCGTTTTATGGCGTGAAAAAGCTGTAAAAGCTGCTTACGCCCTTGCTAGTATACCCTCTTGCCCATTGCGTACAGGGTATAAAAAGGGTCTACATTTGCACATTTAGGTCTGTCAGCTATTGTTCTGGTTTAAGGAGGTTATTTAGCATTTATACAAACACTTATCACGTATGTGCACCAGCATAGCCACCAGTATATAGTTGGGCAAATCGAAACGATCGCTGTCCGCAAAGATGGCATCCCACAGCAGAAGCAAGTCCAGCAACAGAAACTCGCGTCCAAACAATAAGCGCAGCCAGCGTCTATGAATAATATAACGCCTTAGTAAGCACCCAACAATCGTGGACCAGCATTCAATCCACTTACATGCCAAATATGTGCAGCGGGATTTCCATTTTAAGAAGATAATGGTGCAAGTGCTGATCAGCCTTAGCAAGTATTTTATCGCGTATAAAGTTCAGTTGGCTGACAACCTCAACCTCAGATTGCAGTTCAGTGTCGGCAGCGGCCTGATGCAAGAAAAAGCGATAAGTGACATTACAAGTAAGAACGGCATATTATTTATAATTACTTCGCTTGAGCTCTCAATGTAGCCCCCAGCAGTGGGAACCACACTCGATACACGATAATAAGATTCAACAGAAGACATAAGGCGCGAGAAAATGGAGCTGCAATTCATTTTGCTGTTTAGATACGTATTTAGTCGATTTAAAAATCACTTACTATGTGTCCGATTCCAGATATCCCGGATCCAGCACGTTCAGCAATGTCTCACTTGGATTAAAAACACAAAATTAAAAGAAATAACGCTTTTAATGTCCTTTTAACTCACTTAATGTCAGTCTTGGCAATCTCTCGAAAGTGCAGCAGCGACTGATGATCGCTGTAGACCACAAAGATGATGGGCGCCAGAATCTCGTGCATACCCTGGCGGTAACACATGTACGGATGCTCGCGAGAGTAGTAGAATAGTATGTTTGTCATTGCATTCTGTATGGGGGCCTTGCGGAAGAAGTCTACGCCCGGAAACGTACGCACCACATCCTGGCGTATGACAGCAAAAAGCTCCTGGTCGCTGAAGTACTGATTCCAAACGCTTTGCGTCGACTGCGACAGTGGGTCGTCGTCGGGAACTACCAGCTCATGAGGATTGCGTACATAATCTACCCTAAACTTTTCGTATCTGTTGGAAAACATTTTTACAAGGTAATACCTTTGTATACAAAGTTTCTTATGCTTATTTACCGGCTCCGCTGCTGCTCGCGTTGTATTTCCCACGTGCGATGATCGGCATTCAGCACGCGCAATAGCAATGCCCAATAGATGCTGCGAAACTTTGACATTTTTAGTTCGCCATTGAAGGCGGCATGACGCAGTAGCTCCGGATTGCTTTCCAGATTGGCCAACAGCTGCGTCCATTCTTGTCTGCAATAAAAGCAGCTGCATTAGGGCTGATCAATTGGAAGATTGCCATTGTTTACCTATAGCGTTCAACAGAGGTCATTGTATTGGTTATCAAACGGTTCGCCTGTTCGATAGTACGCCCCCTTTCTTCCCTTACGTTTGTCTTAATGGATGCACTGTCTGCCTTTGTTGTCGGCATATACAACTTTATAGCTTCTATGCCTCGCACAGTCATTTCTTTTCGCTGGTTGTGCTCTAAGTGGAACTACCAGCCCGCATTTTGTCCAAGGAACGTGCTGACTTTGAATATTCCCAAGATAAGACTGCACCAACTTAAAGCTGTGTTGACAAAAAAAAAACCACACAAACAGAACGGTGAATCCGAACTAGTTCCTTTCTTCTTCAAACATGTTTATGATTTTGTTAAGCCCATCTTCACATATGGATGCTAAAATGCATTTTAGCATTACGGTCAATACGTAACATACATACATACATACATACATAATGGAAATTCATTCTCATATATCTCATGATATTTGATTATTCTGGTTGAATGGTTGAATAGAAATAGAGTCAGCATGTTCCGATGGTCTGGCAAGGTCCCTCCGGGCTACAATCGGGTATCGATATCTTGCGATTAATTTATTTTTCAAATGTGTAGAAGGCGCCTGTGGACAAAGAGAGAATGTTGAACATTTGTTTTGCACTAAAACAACTATGCATTTTGGACTGATTAGTACAAATGATTGCAAAAAACTCTTCTTTAAATTTGCATGTTATTTAAATAGTAGCAATTTATAAGCAGAGGTACATAAATTGATTAAGGTCAATAAGCATCGTGCTTGTTGATATACTCTCAGATACGAACAATTCATTAATGATAATGCCAATGAGAAACGTTGTCTCCTGAAGATCATCAACAAAAAAACGACAACCAGGAAATAGAAGCAAACAACAATAAGCAACGCAAAGCAATACCGCGCCGGCGCAGCCATCAGCAACAGCATCAGCTTCAGTTCGGCAAAAATGTTGACCCTATGCGATACTAAAAATTGCAAATAAGCCAACCAACGTTTTGTTTATGTTGCTAATAGTTTTCTACTAGTTTGATTATCGACAAGACGGTCAATGCCGTTTTTTGATCTAGTCTCGAGTAATTTTTCTAACATATCAATTTATTGATGTTGTGAAGTTTTTTATTTTACTGTTTCTGTTGTGTCTGAACTTGAACTTGCTGTTGGCTTTGACCCAATGATTGGCGTAACAAAAACGATAAGTGGGAGTTTCATTTTTTGCAGCTCAAGGGCTTGCATTAAATAAAGGGCTAGCAGACGATGATACGGTGTTCTATCAACTATAAACAAATGCCAGTAGGCTTATAAATATGTACTTGTACATATGTACTTAAATATATGTATACATATACACACACCTGAGTGGCTGCTTGTTGTGTGGGAGTGGCCAAGCTGTCGATACGTACATACTTTAACATTGCTACTGACATGTGCTTATGGTTAATAAAATAAAATTTTGCATTCTGCAATTGTGTGAGCTTATGTCAATATAAAGTATTGTTTTATAAATTATTTGTGATAGGGCATGTCTACCCAACGACAGACACTGTTCGGACACTGAAGCCCCGTGCCATCCATTTAAATGCATTTCCGTAACGCATTGGAATCGGCCTTTTGCTATACAGAGCGCCCAAATCCATATGATTTAAACCACATACTAACAGAAATACGAATACATACTATACACTACCAAAAACACAACAACAAATGATCCAATAGTGTGTGTCCATCAATGATACATACCAAAAAAAAAAAACGTGCATGCATGGCTGCTTCTGTGGCTAGTTGTTGTAAACATTTATGCACAGTTAGTCGACGACGCAACACGTATACGCCGCGTTGGCTTCATTTTTGATTTGTCGGTCAAAGTCAATGTCAATGCAAATGCCAAAAATCACAACAAAAGAACTACTACTACGAGCGCGACGCCGCCGGTGGCTGTGACTGCGACTGCGACTGTGACAGTGGTCAAGTAGTAACTGCCGCAGCGCATTAATTACAATAATCGTTATTGCTGCGCTGAACTGTTGTTGCTCTCCCATACCCGAATTTCGTGCAACGGTCAAATGCGAACACGTTTGGCCTGAGTTTCAGCCACAGCGTCTGTGTCTGCGTCTGCGTCCGCTTTGGCTTCCCCTTCTCGACTGCGGCTGTTGCGGTGTCTGTGGATGCGGTGGTTATCAGCCGCCGGCCCGAGAACCCGTTTACTTGGACCCTGTTACAATTCGCGGTGGCCGTTTCAGCTGCTGCCGCTGCCGCTGCCTCTGACGGAGTTTTGGGTGTTTTGCATTTTGTATTTCCTGATGTTTAATCAGCTAGCGATAGCCGAAGCAGCAAATCGCTTTTGAAATTTTGATTTGTCTGCCCTCTCGCTCTGACTTGCAGGCACATGACGCGCACATGTGCCTTTTTATTGGCTTTGTTTCTTCTCATGAGTATGTATTTATACTATATTTATTTTTTCGATTTTTATACTCTGTACATGAAATGTACAAGAGTATATTAGGTTTGCGGGAGCTGAAAAATGTAACAGGCAGAAGGAGGCGTGGCAGACCCCACAAAGTATATATATTCTTGATCAGCATGACGAGACGAGTCGATCTAGCCCTGTCTGTCTGTCTGTCCGTCTGTCCGTCTGTCCGTCTGTCCGTCTGTCCGTCCGTATGAACACCTGGATCTCAGAGACTATAAGAGATAGAGACACCAAATTTTGCACAAAGATGCGTTATGTGTGTATTCTATACGAGTTTGTTTTATTTTTTTGATTTTCCCCCCCACTTCCCCCCTATGGGGGTTTTCCCGATTTTCCATTCGTATAATCGCCTATATCTCGGAGACTATACGACCTAGGAACACCAAATTTTAGTCCCAGATGCCTTATGTGAATACGCAGAAAATGTATATTTTGGAATTCCCCTCCCTCCCCCCTCTACCCCGCAAATCGTAACTTCCGTAATTCTTGGAATTTCGAACTAAAATTTTGGAAATACCCCCAGTTGGTTATTATGTGTCCGTATGCCAAATTTCATTATGATAGACCGATTTACCAAGAAGTTATAGCCATAAATATATTTGCTGATGCAGCGCTGCTGCAGCGCTGCTCAAGCGCTGCCCGCGGCTGTTGTTGATGTTGCTGTTTGGTTGACTGCGAAAATGCTTACACAGACACGAATAGATGCGCATAGGCATACATACACTCACACAGACGCAATTGCTATGTAAATGTGCAATTATACACCCTTTACGTGAGTTCGAATACCGAGAGAGGTAAAATCGATCAAATTTTTTTTTTTATTTTCTTAATTTTTTTATTTTCTATAATTATTGTAAACATATGTACAGAGTATTTCAAAGTCGGGACACCCGACTTTAGCTTTTTTACTTGTTCTTCTTTTTTTTGCTTTTTGCTAACTTTGCGACTTTGGCCTTTTTGTGTCGTTTTGAGTCCATTTACATACATTAATTGTTTCTTTTTTGGCCCGCTGCTTCTGCGTCAGCAGCTACTTTATCATCAGCGATGAGATTCAATCGTTTACAGTTACATGGCGAGCCAATACTCCAATGCGGAAGTCAAGTAACCGGAAGTGGTTGCCATGTCCAATGCCTGGCCAACATTTGAATACTAGTCTGGGTTCTTGTTCTGCCTGTTCTTAGCATGGAGCCTCCAAGCCTGAGATCACTCATTAGATAAAAATTATTAAAAATATTCTTTGCACTCTAAAAATAGCCAAATATTCAAGGTTTCAAAGTTCAACGCAAAGGGACAGAACATATATCATTTTCGAATACCTATCAGCTGACCCTGACTTGTTCTGTAAAGCTTCGGTTCTGGTTCAATGGCTCAGTCCTTGAACACAAGCCTTAAGCCCGTTTGTGAGTTAGTTGTACAAATAATTACAAGATTAACTAAAACATAAATGGCAATTGTTTTAAAAATCGGAAATCTGAATCTGAAATAAAAATTGATTACAAAAAATATAGGCACGTCTGAATGGAAGAGTATGATACTCGTGAGAAAACTGAGCGTCCAAAACAACAATGCCAAGCCATCAATTATTTGCATGAATAAAGTTCTTTAAAAAGTAAAGTAAAAAGTGTTAACAAAGTATAAACAGGAAGAATATTGAACTTTATTTGCTTAATGCAAGCGCCTGCAGAAAGCGAATCGTATCTCATTTGAAACCCATATTTAATATTAAGATTCTAGTCTATGACATAATATTGCTACCACGAAAGCATCTAGAAACAGGTAAGATTTTTCTCGCATTCCCTCTCCTTCTTAACCAGCTGTGTTTTGTTTACAATACAAATTCGATCGACTGTTTTTTTGACTTTATGTACAAGTATATGGGATACAAATGTAAACTTCGAGGCAGATCTTTATGTATTTCAAATTGATTGCTTAATTACTCATAAGTATTTCCCGGCCAACTGGTTTCAACTGAATGAATAAAGGGCTGCCATAAAACATTGATATCATCAAAAAAAAATTTCAACTTAGACATTTTCTATTATAGGACTGATTATAACTATTGTATAGTATAGAAGTTGCTTGCGTCTAGCAATAAAACAAGAAACAAATTATAAATATTCATGCAAATTCGTCGCAACATAGCGAACTTAAGAATAGAAACCCAAAAATATGTGCGGCGTGGCGGACCCAGACATGAAAGATACTTTAAACGCAAATCAGGTTTGCGGTAGGTTTTGTATCTAGAATTCTAAGCAGCATGTGGACGTCCCCAGTGCTGTTTCTGCCATTGTTGTTGGTGTTAAGCTGCGACCAGTTATTGATGCCAGGCATGATCAAGTTCTTAATGAAAATTGTAATGCGGTTGAGTAGAAGATCAACTGCTCTTGGTAACCGATCACTTGGCCTGCAATGGCCAAGAGCTGTGGCCAACGAACATGAAAATCTCCAGCGTATTGGATGAGCTCCTACGTCAATACTCGCCAATACTTCAAAAGCAGCGGGACGTGATCATTTTGCCAATTTGCCGGAACAGCTACTTAAATGTTTTATGTAGGCACTTACTTACCTATTGCTTACTTATCAATGAATGTTGCTTTGCTGCCTCTGTACTGGTGTGCTATTTCTATACATTGTCCAATTATTTGAACACAAAATGTATGTCTTTATTGCCGCCTCACAAACACTGTCAAGCTCTAATGGATTCCTCTTGTATGTTGGCATGATTGCTTATATATTCTAAATAAATAAACAAAGACAATTGAGGGGAATGAATCAAACCTTTGCAAATGCCTTCCCATCAGAA